GTATTTGCGCAAGCTTAAAGATGGTTCCTTTATATATCTTCTCCTATATGTTGATGATATGTTCTTAGCTTCCAAGAATTCGAAAGAAATTGATAAGTTGAAGATTCAACTGAAGAAGGAGTTTGAGATGAAGGATCTAGGTGAGGCAAAGAAAATTCTTGGCACGGAGATAATAAGATATAGACGTTCAAAGAAACTATGTTTATCTCAGAAAGAATATTTGAAAAGAGTACTACAATGTTTTGGCATAGATGAGAAGACTAAGTCAGTTAGTACTCCACTTGCTCCCCATTTTAAGCTAAGTACTACTATGTCGCCAAAAGATGAAGCTGAACGAGAGTATATGTCAAAGGTACCATACGCAAATGATGTTGATAGCTTGATGTATGCAATAGTCTGTACGAGACCTGACATTTCACAAGTTGTTGGAGTTATTAGCAGATATATGCATAATCCAGGAAAGGAGCATTGGGAAGCTGTGCAGTGGATTCTACGGTATATTCATAATACTGTAGATGTTGGGTTAGTTTTTGAGCAGAAATGCAATCAGTCTGTAGTTGGATGTTGTGACTCAGATTTTGCGGGTGACCTGGACAAATGAAGATCAACTACTGGTTATGTGTTTACTTTTGCAAAGGCACCAGTTCATTGGAAGTCTACTTTACAGTCAACAGTTGCTTTGTCTACAACAAAAGCAGAGTACTTGGCTATTATAGAGGCTGTGAAGGAGGCAATTTGGCTTCAAGGATTGCTAAAAGAGCTTGGTGTTGAACAAAAAAGTATCACAATTTTTTGTGATAGTCAAAGTGTTATTCAATTAGCGAAGAACCAAGTTTATCATGCAAGGACGAAGCACATTGATGTTCGGTATCATTTCGTACGAGAAATCATAGAAGAAGGTGGAGTCACGGTGAAAAAAATTCATACTATAGAGAATCCTGCTGATATGCTGACAAAGGTGGTGATTGCGGTCACGTTTCAACATTGTTTGGATTTGATCAATATTGTTGAACACTGAAGATTTGAAGACGAAGACACAACCAAAATTTGTTATTGAGAGAAAATTGAAGATGTGGAATTTTGCCAAGGTGGAGATTTGTCGAATGCCAAAATGTCCTACATCGGCTGAAGGAAGAAAGTTGTTGGGAATTTCACCCTATAAAAGGAGGCCTAATGTTTAGGATTTAAACACACCTCTCATTTGCCTTCTTATCTTCTTAAGGCATTTGTATCTTCTCTCTTTAGTATTATTTCACTTGTATTTTGGAGTGGAATAAAATATTGGTTGTGTCCGAGGAAGTAGGCAAAATTGGCCGAACCTCGTAAATTCTGATGTTCCTTTTATTGTTGTTTTATTATCTTATTTATTATTTGGTGGCTGCCATAATTTTTTGATATAGTAGTTGTGACTCATTCACACTATATACATTGACTTCCGCAACAAGACTAACTTCTTCAACTCCTTTGTTTAAGCTAATCGATGATGCTAAATCAGAGTCTTCTATCACTATTGTGTAATTCTTCTCTGTGTGGTTCAAAAGATCTCTGGAAATATTTACTGATTACTTTGTTTAGTTTCTTATTGGATGCCAAGTATGCATCAACTTCATTAGATAAGCTGGATTCTCCACCTCTTTTTCTACGGAGAGATGATTCGAGTAGTTGAACACGTCCCTTTATCTGTGAGAAAGCGTCTTTAACGACGCTACAAGTATCCAAAACATTGAGGGACACATCAGAGATTTGTTCAAGTAATTTGACATGTTTTTCAAGGGAGAGAACATGTTGGTTGATTGGCAAATGGAGGACATCATCAACGCATTCGTATAATTTTCTAAGACCGTCCAATCTTTGGAATATTTTAGAGCGAGAAGATGTGGAAGTTAATTCAGATGACTTCAACCTTTGCAACTGCTCCACTGCACTTGCAATAAGAGGATGAGTTGCAGTAGGCAAACTCGTGGAACGAACATGGTTTGTCGCCATTTGATTTTCCATTTGAAGCTCTTGTCTTAACTTTGCTAGTGCAGATTGATGAGTTTGAAGAATGTGGATGATGAAAGGTTGGGTCTTGGAATGGTTTGGATCAAGATGTTAACAATTTATATATAGCTAGTTGAAGACAGAGATAATAATTTTACATGTTTAGCCAAGTTGTCATGTCTCTGATCCTCTGAATGCTCCTTCTTTTATGTCAATATTGTTTTCTCATTCATGTACATTGTTTTGATAATAAAATACTTGAATATTCTTTAACCACCAGGGTTACCACTCAGTTTCCGAGCAAAACATTGCAGCATTATTATATGTCCAATATGTATGTGAGCCGAAGGGGAGCCTTGGAGCAACGGTCAAGTTGTCTCCGTGTGATCTATAGGTCAAGGGTTCGAGCCATGGAATCAGCCACTGATCAGTGTAGGCTGCCTACGTCACACCCCTCGGGCTATGGCCCTACCATGAACCGTGTATGAACACGGATGCTTTTGCATCGGGCTGCCTTTTTATGTATGTGAGCTGATTTTAGAGATTTGAGGGAGCAATAAGAATCTTGAAAGTCTGTCATATTTAATTTATATCAATATCACACGTTTGAGATATATGTAATCTGCTCAAATGCCAAGGGGCTAGATTTGTGTACGGTTCTGTGTACCAGTCCTTGAATCTATTCATTATATGCAACAGTAAGCTTGTGCGACTACAAACAACAACAACAAACTCGGTGTAATTCCACGAGTGGGGTCTGGAAGTTTGTGCGACTGTTTCTTGGAAATGGCATTATAACATGCTTAGGTCGAATGTGAAGTCTGATAAAATTGGAATTTTTTTTCTTTAGGATTGTCACACTTGCAGTGGAAGGTCCGTTTGGACTACCTTTTGAAGTTTTCCAGAAAAGCTTTGCAAGACAGGCCATAACACAGAAATGAGAAGAAATGACTGTGCCGTTGGTCTACTTGTGAGGAAACAAGTGGAATCCTTTCAGTTCAGTAACAAATGACAAACATTAATTAATTGATCTTTATGTTTTAGCAATAAGTATTAGCATACAACTAGTCAAACGTAACAGCCTCGTTTGTTCTGATATTTTTTGACTGCTATGGTGAAGTGTTGTCAGAGGCGGACCTATGCTATATAATTAGGGGTCACCATCACTCGTAAAGTACCGCAAAAACTACATATATATATGTATGTCTTTAGAAAATAGTAATATATAAGTAGTGGCACCCTATATTCAAGCAGATTTTTGCTGAATCCAAAAGTGCACCCACGAGCTTCAAATCCCGGATCCGAAAAACTCGACCTTTATAGTGAATGGCTATTATAAAAGGATGTTGTTATAAAGAGGTCTGACCGTAATTCTACAATAGTTTGTTTCCAAGGAGAAGGTTTGAAGATATCAAAAATATAAAATAGACTATTGATCAATATTATCTGCATAATTTTGAAGGATAGTTGCTGGCAAAATTTGTTACACTTGTTGTATTCCATATGACAAAATTATATATCCAAGACACAAATTTTTTACATTTCTAACACTCTCTAGGATAAAATAGTATACACAAGATTGGAATCCCATATACTAATCACAGCACAAATTAGTGACTGAGAATGTTGAGAAGGGAAACTCTATTTTTCAATAGAAGCCTAAAAATAGCTCCCAACCCATCCTCCAGTTCTTGAATGCTTGACTCAAATACCTGCAGTTTTTTAGCTGCATTTAGTATCTGTGAATGATCTATCTTCTCGTTTCGTAGAAGAAGCAACAACTCCATGTTTATCTTCTCTATTTCAATATCAATTCCTTCACATGAAACTCTCTTTGGCTTCAATAACTTTGAGACCAAAGACCAACTATTCTGTTTTGATATCATCTTTGTATGGGAAATGAATGATGAAGTTGACTCCAATACCATAAGAGTAACATCTTCAACTCCTTTAATTAAACTAACCAATGATGTAAGTTCAGAGTTTTCTACTACTATTGTCTGATCATTTTCTTTCTTATGCAAATTTCTGAATCCTTTGCAAATCACTTTGTTCAGTTTCTTATTAGATGCTATGTACACGCCGACTTCATTGGATAAGCTGAATTCTCCACCTCTTCTTCTACGTAGAGATGATTCGAGTAGTCGAACACGTTCTTTCATCTGTGAGAAAGCGTCTTTAGTGATGCTACAAGTATCCAAAACCTTGAGGGAACTGTTAGAAACTTGTTCCATTAATTTAACATGTTTTTCATAGGAGAGAACTTGTTGGCTAAGTGGCAAATGGAGGACATCGTCAACACATTCGTATAATTTTCTGAGACCATCCAATTTTTGGCATATTGTTGAATGAGAAGAAGAGGAAGTTCCTTCGGATGACTTCAACCTTTGCAACTGCTCCTCTGCACTGGCAATGAGAGGATGAGTTATCGTAGGCAAGCTCGTGGAACGAACGAGATTTGTCGCCATTTGATTTTCCATTTGAAGCTGCTGTCTTAACTTTTCTAGTGCAGATTGATGAGTTTGAAGAATGTGGATGAGGAAAGGTTGTTTCTTGGTGAATGGTTTAGACCAAAATGTTGGAAGTTTATTTATATACAAACTGCAAAGACAATAAAACAAAGAGTAATATTCTAAACTGTTTAGCCAAGTTGTCATGTCTCTGATCCTCTGAATGCTCCTCCTATTCCGCCTTTGTCTCATACCATGTATTTAGTTTTTAATAATGTCGTACTTTAATATTCCACAGCAACCAGGTTTTTTGAGATTTCATGGAGCAATAAGGGGTGCCTTGGCGTAACTTGTAAAATTGTTGTCATGTCATCATGAGGGCATGGGTTCGAGTTGTGGAAATAGCCTCTTACAAAAATATATAATAAGTCTGCGTACAATAGACCTTTGTGGTCCGACCCTTCTCCGAACCCGCGCATAACCGATGCTTAGTGCACCGCACTGCCTTTTTATTTTAGGGAGCAATAAGGATCTTGAAAGCCTGTCATATCTAAATTATATCAATTGCACACGTTTGAGATAAATGTGATCAGCTCACATGTCAAGGGGCTAGATGTTTGTACGGTTCAGTGTACCAATCCTTTAATCTAATTCATTCATTACTCCAATATACAACAGTTAGCTTGTGAGACTGTTTCTTGGAAATGGCATTAAAACAGGTGTGATTTAATTGGATTTTTTTTTTCCCTTCATATCTTCACACTTGCAGTTGAACATTGTCCCTATGCACTTATTCTAAAAACCTTGTAGGCTATATTAATGGACGAAGTGCACAAATAGCTGTTTTTAGGAAACCCC